GCTTTTTCATGGTTTTCAAGCCTGATTAATTGCATTCCTGACTTGGTTTCCCCCATGGAAACCCTGTACCAACAGCAGCAAAGTTTGAGCTCCTCTGTTTCTCATGTCACCAAATTGGTTAATGTCAAAAACTGACAAGATTATGAAACACGTCCTCTCCTATTAAAACTAGACATCTAAAAAACTGAAAAACATCATCCACTTAATGACTTTTGTGTTTGCTTTTTCCATCCCATTTTCTCCATTTCTAAAAACTGCTCTTTCATTGCCCAATTGGGGTGTGGTAATACAACATGATTTTTTAATTAATCATCAACTGATTCATCTCCCCTCACTCTGAGTAACCACACTGATTTCAGTTGCTACACACAATACACTCTCCATTACATCTGCTATGCTCTTGCTGATAGGTGTTTCTTAAATTAATGAATATGAAAGGCTTTACATTCACATGAAGACTAGAACACAGATTTGCAATAATAATGGGACAGTAAATGTGTGTTGCTAATATTTTGAGGTAATTTGGGAGATATTTAGTAAAAACAGATTGACAACCTTTCACTTATATTTATATTTGTATTGTTCATATGCAAAGTGATAATAAACTATTGAAAATATGTAGGGAATTGGATTTTATTATATGTGATAGTATAAAGAAAATTTTTTTATGGACAAGGAGTTAATAAAGTAACCATTGTTCATTTTCTGTTAGTTGGTTCTGAATACCCTGTAATACTTTCATTCTCTTGAATGGATTTATACTGTTTTGTTATGTTTGATACTATAGTGTATGAACATATACTCAAATATTTCAAGGAAAGAGACACTACGGTAGCTACTGTTATGTCAGGTTGTCTTGTGGTGAAACACTACGTTGCTTAAATTGTTCTGACCTGTTTTGTTATGTCCTCTTTTATCTTAATCTTTTTTAAAATAAAAAAGAAAATGTATGTAGGTATAACAATCTCAAGCAAAGTGAAATTCTGTTCATTTCTGAAATAAATTTTGCATACTATTAATGATATTTGGGAAGTGCAAGAAATGTGAATATTCTATTTATCCTCAACTCTGTTCTACAGCTACCAGTATAACAGTGTCTGCACTCCCTCAGCGTTGCCTCTCCATCTTGGTCTCTAGCTTTTGAGGAACTATAGTTTTACGCAAAGAGTATTTCCGACCCTAAAACTGTCTATTCTCCCTTTTATCATTGCGTTTTTAAATGCCCTTCCTTCTGCAATGGATTTTTGTAAGCAAATATTATGTATTTTGATATAGGTCCTCGTGTTTTTTCGTATCTTACATGTTTTTGTATGTTTTCTAACTTTTCTCCGCATATCTTATCATATATTTCAAACACTTCTTTATGTCATTGTCTCTCACAATCTCAATATATATGGAGAACTGTGAATTCTAGAAATCATCAAACTTGTGGAGTGCTGTGGACATCATATTTGATGTCAGGAATGCAATTAATCAGGCTTGAAAAACATGAAAAAGCAGAACATGCAGTGTGTAATGAAGAAAAAAAATCCCTCAGTGAAGAAGAAATAGCTATTTTGGCTACTTTTTAAAAGTATTTAGTGCTATATAAAATTAACAGAAGAGCCTCTCTTGGACATTTAGGACAAGGAAGAGTTGGTTCAGGTCCCACACCTACACCAAAGCAAGAGTTTCCCAAAGACTGATCATAGAAGGAGCAGCAATACAAAACACTGTCAGACCAAAGAAAGATCTGCTTGTCACTCTAGCTAGAAACCCCAGTGTTATCTTTGTTGGTAAAAGTGCCATTCTATTTAAGCAGAAACTAAGATTTATGCTGAAGCAGGTCTGTCCACATTCATAACTAAACTTCGGTTTAGTTGTGTATTTGCCACTAGCCATTGGTGGACATGAAAGAAAAATTTGATATAGAAGATTAAAATGGGAAAAATTTAGAGAATGAGCTAGACATTCTGAAGTAGAAAAGATTTTCATGATGTTTTCCATAGTGCTGTTGAATTGCTAGTTATTAGAATTATGGACAATGTGCTCAAGGTATTCTCGTCATGACTTTCCCCAGCATAATTCTAGACAACAACTTGTAAGCCTCACATATTGATGCTAGTGAGAAGCACAATAAATTATATTGTTATGTGTGGACATCTTATATAAAATTTCAATTTTTCTTCTATTTTGTTACTCACTATACCTAAAAATAGGTATTAATATGAAGATCAAATTAGTTTTCAAATACTGTAATAAAAATACATGACTGGAAAGTGAGTTCTTTTCATGGAGAACAATGTTTATCTTCTAAATTATTGCAATTTTACTGTCATCACCAGAAATTCCTCTGATTTAAATAATGCTTTTTGGCATGTTGTTTTGTGTAGACATCAAGGTTTTATTATTGACTTACAAACTAACACAAATGATATTCCACAGATCTGAATGTGAGACATCTACAGCAGGGCACTTGTAGACTGAATGTCCCATGGAAGAGCAATTTATTCTTCATGCACAGCCTGATTTTGACAGTCTTCCCATGGTGGACAGAACCAGGAGAAGATACACAACTCATTTATTGGAAAAGAACTTCATGCAAGAGAAATTTTCCTTCTTGATCCAACAACTGCCAAAGGCCACACTTACTAATACCATCAAAATGGGTGCTTAGGATCCCAAAATAGAGCAAAACAGCACATAGCTTTCCCCATACAGCATCATTTGAAAAGTAAAGAGTTTAATGTAAAATATTTGGTACAGGTGCAAGCACTTGTAGTGCTTTATCTCATGTAAGAATTATTCATAATTTTTTTCATTCACTATGGTGCCTTCTGCTAACTTGTCTATCTATCCCTCATGCCATTTGTACTGCAGAGATCATCCTTTCTATGGGGAAATGTTCTTACACAGGGCAGAGCAGTGAGGAACATAATCTGCCCTTGGTTTAGCTTCTATACTTGTGATGGGTAATCAATGCTGTCACTGTGTTTTTTGTGGGATTTCAAATTTAGAATAATTTCCATATTTTCTCTAGATGCTCATTCATTGATCTAGCTATTAGAAAATTAGAACAAGATAAAAAGAGAATAATATATATATATATATATATATATATATATATATATATAATGCTTCCATAGGAACTTTTGTTCGTTTTGTTGTATATTTCTTAAATTTCTATTCAGCATTTTATAAATGTTCTTAAAAGCTACAGTGTCTTTATGTATGTGTGCATATGTATGCTTATTCTACATATAATATTCTTAGTTAATTTTGTTTATAAATATCTAATAAAGACTCAAAAATCAAATGTTTTCTGGCATTTTATTTGATAATTGTTTTCTGCACATAAAGCAAATGCTTTGGATAAAAGGAATGGAATGCTTAGTGTATGACTAAAGGCAAGCACACAGTCACTCTCTGGCTGTACTGATACAGGATCTCATTAAACACTGCTTTCTGGAAGTGACTCTGAACCACAGAAGAATATTTACAGGGCTGAGAAAGGTGAAGAGGAAAAACAAAGGAAGTTGATGGTTGACAGTTCCAACCAACAGTTATACACTATCAGAATTACACACTGTAGAAATGGAGAAATGATCACAAGGTTCATTTGAGGATGTGCTGGCATCACCCCGCGCTAAAACCCTATTGACTGTCTATCATTCATATTTTTGTGCTTTACCTGAACACTACAGATATTTTGGATTTCTTGGAATCAAGTGTTAATTCACAGCCAGAATATAGTATTGCTTAAAATGTTTGGTAAGAGACCATAGGTTCCTTTAGTAAAAGTTGGGGGACAGCAGGAACTTTCTCAAAAGCAAAGCTCAATGCTGGAATTATTAAGTTTCATCCTCTTTGGAATTTGGCTATGTCTGATTGAAATGGTCTGAAGATTTCCTCCCCTAGAATAACAAGCAGAAAAGTTCAATGAATCAATATGTGCCATGCTGAAGAACACTGGAATCTATCTCATGGCCCTTGTGACATTATATAACACATGTAATGTGTCTACTTGGATGACATCTAGTGAACCATTCCTTTTAAAACAAAGTCCATCTGTTGTTTTAGTATTTGGGATAATGAGGTAATTCCAAAACTGAGTTCTAGGATCAAGTAAAACTACATCTCTATCTTAATACCAAACTAGGTTAGATAATGAAACCTATGAATTGTGATGTGCCTGGTACAGGCTAGAACTAAACAACATCTTTTGCATTTATAAACTTCTTTAAACTTATAATTAACCTAGAAAAAGGAAGAATTACTGCCTTCGATAACTGAGAAATCAGATTCAGCAGTGAAAGAAAATTTGCCACACTAATAGTGATTGTTTGCAAACTTGTTAATCAGATCTTTCATAGAGTTCAATTCTCTGGTTGTGAGATATAATGCGAAGAGACTCAAGCAATCAGACCTTGTGCTGAATCTATAACTAGATACAGAACATCCACTTCCAATGACGTTCCTGGAACATGCAGAAAATGTAGAGTTGAGAAAGAAAACTTGTCTTAAAAGAAGTAAATGAGGTAAATTCACAAAGATAAGTTTTTTGGACTTATTTATGCAGCAAACAGAATATAACAAACTAGATGTTCATTCACTTCAATATAACTCATATTTCTGAATAACATGCAATGCTTAGGCACTGTATTTCACAACTATTCAATTATTGATGAAAAGTTGGAGAAGAGTTAGAGATGGAGAGAGGAGAGAGGGAAGCTGAAAAGATTAAGAGGCCCTACATGTATGTACTGATTCCTCACTGTGTATAGAAAATGTGTACTAGTGATTCCTCACTAGTATAGAAAATGTGTACTATTAATAAGCAGTGCATTTGAAACAATGCCTCTTCTCCCCTCTCTCTTTTCTCCCTTAAAAACTCATTAACTTCACATTACAAAATGATGCTAGAGAAGAATTTCTGAAAATGAAACACTGGGAGTGGCACATAGTGAGGGGGCACACTCATGGTGGACATTATGCTTGCAATCATTTTCCAAATTGCAAATCTATGTAAGACCCATCCTTTGCATAATTTTCTTCAGGGCGATTTTTACCTCTTGATTCCTCAAGCTATAGATCAGTGGGTTTAACATGGGAATCACTATCACATAAAACACAGATGAAATTTTATCTCTGTTCAGAGAGTGGGTTGATTTAGGCTGCAGGTACATAAAGCTAATTGTCCCATAAAATATTGAGATAGAGGTCAGGTGAGAGGCACAAGTAGAAAATGCTTTCTGTCTTCCTGCAGTAGAATGAATCCTCAGGATAGCTAAGATGATAAATGCATAAGAAGTGCCCACGATCACTAGAGAGCAAAGGGTATTGAAGCCTGCAATGATGAACAACATGAGCTCTTTGACGTGAGTGTCAGAACAGGCCAGAGCAATTAAGGGAACATCATCACAGTAGAAGTGGTTGACCATCTTGGAGCCACAAAAAGATAGCCGAAACGTGGCCACAGTCTGAACAAGACCCACAGTGAATCCATATATGTACATGCCAGCAATCATCTGAACACACAGTTTTCTAGGCATGAGAATGGCATAAAGCAGGGGGTTACGTATGGCAACATAGCGATCGTAGGCCATGATGGAGAGCAGGTACATTTCACACACTGCAAATGTGATGAAGCAACACACCTGAACAGCACATGCAAAAAATGATATGCTTTTAACTACACACATAAAGTTCACCAGCATGTTTGGGGTGACAGAGGAGGTAAAACAAAAGTCAATAAAAGACAGGTGACTAAGAAAAAAGTACATTGGTGTGTGCAGCAAAGGACTGACATGGATTAGCACAATCAGTCCAAGATTCATGGTCACACTGACTAAGTAGACAACCAGCAACACACCAAAGAGAATGACCTGAAGCTCTGGATTGTCTGTGAGCCCCAGGAGGATGAATCCAGACACTGATGAGTGATTACCTTTAGCCATGGATTACCTTTTTACAAAAATTTTAACATAAAATGCTTCAGTGAACACCTTTCAGGTGGGAATCTTCACTTAGGCACTAATCAGTTGGAGGTCAAAGGATGATTCTTCTTTGTTGGTCTGTGGTGAAGATATTCAAAGACATTTCCTTCTGCTCTGTGGATGAATGAATTGATTTTTTTCTAGACAAAAATTCTCAAACTTGCAATTCTGTTGGGTTTCATGAAGATATGAATTGGTATTTTAACATTCTAAGAATTATAATCTATCTCATTTCTATACTTTAAAAGACAAAAATGTTTGAAATTTGTATCATCAGATAAAATACTTTTCCACAAGTACTGGAATGCTTTAAAATATTCTTTCCTTTAGCTATTTTTCAGTAGTATTTATAAGAATTTTAAAAATTTGACTCAAATAGATTGTACAGAAATTCTAAATAAAATTTTGGATAGGAAATGTGTTTACCATATTTCTGGGATTTTTTAGCTGTTATTTAATTCTTTACACATATAATTACAAATTTTTCTATACTTCTTATGAGTATATATGAAATAAATTGCAAAAACTATAAGATAGATAGCCTGGGATTTGTTTTTTTTTTTTTTGTTTTTTTGTTTTGTTTTTTTTTTTTTTTTTGGTACCAGGGATCAAACTCATGACCTCATGCTTGCCAAGTAGGAATATTTAATTATATGGAGCAGTATTAAAAATACTTTAAGTAGTTATTAAGCATACTTGTCACCTATCTACAAATATCTGAATGTGAAATTAAAGGAAAAAAATCCAGGATAGTTCACATATCTACTAAGTCCTCAATAATCAAGACAGAGCAGATTTTAAACATTTTCTTTTTTCTTTTTGTTTGTTTCTTTTTTAAAGTTTTTCTCTTAATCAGAAGAGACAGATTGGCTTTTTTCAATCTATGAAAGCTATATATTGCCAATGTGGCTACACTCTTTTTTTTTAAATTTTATTTAAAAGGAAAAAGAGAAAAACACAAAACAAAACAAAGCGGTGTAAGGGTACACGTAATACAGAGCTACAAAAAAAAAACAGTAAGAAATCACCAGTTAATAGATTACATATTATCATCTTAGAAATAGTTGCTCAAATCACAGTATCAAAGAATACAAAGTGGACATTCAAACAGTGAGACTGCAAACAGTTGTGTTCAATGATCCAACCAAAAACAATGTGGCCGTGAAGCCTTATAAAGTTTTCACTTATTAATTGGAAAGGCTTTATTCTGGGCTTCTTGATATGGAAATATTTGAAGCTATTGTATATGAAGTTTTATTCAAATATTTCAAGGAAAAAGACAGACACTGTGGCTACACTCTTAATTCTTAGATATGGAACTTGAGACATAGAGATTAATCTTTATTAATGTTTCCCTAATAAATTTTCATAAAGCAGTATAACTAGCAGTTATTGAGTCTCTAATCTAAATTTATAATTTATGCAAATGATATCATTTCAGTCGGTCAGACATTTCATTACTAGCTAGACATTCAGACAACTTTGGAAAGCAGCCTAATTAATTTGTTCCAGGTGATTAAAATATGTCATACTTGGTATCAAATTCTTTATAGCTCTGCATAGTCTATTTTGTTTTGATCAAGGATTCTTCTTCAGAGGCCTGTGTGTAATCTTATCATAATGATAACTGTTCAAGTTTAATTTTTTTGCAGTACCTTAAAACAGTCTTCCATTTGTTGGCAAATGTAAAGTCTCTAATCCTTACTGTCCTACCAGTTTAGTACATCTACGGATGATCTGGGAAATCTGCATACTTTTTGCTTTTATACATATTACCAAACTCTTCAGTCTTCAAAATTGTCATTCTTATATTAAAATGAAACATTGATAGTCAGTGACATAGCTCAGTGGCACAAGGCCTGTTTAGCAAGCATGAGGCAGAGTCCAAAAATAAATTTATAATATAATATAATATAATATAATATAATATAATATAAAAGGGAATATAGCTCCTTCTTGAAAACATGTTCAGAATACTTTCAACTTGCCAAAGTTCACCTCTGAATCTCAGAAATGTGTAAACTTGCTTACCAGACCACTTAAATTAGACATTCTCAAAGTACCCATAATTTGCATATTTGAAGATAATTCTTTAATTCAAAATCATTGTATCCAACTCATACTCCTCAAAGCCACTGTACTCTACAAGAATGGTGACATCTCTCATCAAATCTTACAAGTTAGAAAGTGAAAGAAAGATGTTTCATATCTTCTGCTAACTTCCACCAATAAATAATTATCAAACAATATTATTATTTAACTACTTTCTTCAAACATGTCTACTTTTTAAGACTTTCTATATTTTATCTGTTTAGGCCCTAAATCCCAGCTCTGAATTAAGGCTTTCTAATTGCTATGTTAGCTTCAGTTTCACCACCACTTCCATGTATATGGCACCTTGATGGCTGCTTCCTAACAAACAAATCACCTTTTGCTCTTTCCTACTAAACTTGGAATTGAGTCCTGGCTTTTAAATTTGATAATTATGCTTTTGATAAACAAATCTTTCTTTGTATGCTACTCTAATTCCTTGCAGTATCAGAAATAAAATAAAATAACATGCAGGACTCAGAAATTTGTAGACATTTCAAATAATATTTAAACTACTGCGTAAATAAATATAAAAATTATGTTCCTCCAAACCTTTGTTTGGTATTTCAGTTTCTCTGGCTTTTTCTGCCCAGTAAGTACCACTTTTGAGCAATCCACAACAAACTCAACAAAAATGAGGCCAGTATTTCTTGATGTAAAATCTGCAGTTATCTGTGACACTGAACAATATTTAAATATTGTGAGGTAATTTTGTATGACTTCTTTGTCCCTGTAGAGTAATTTTCTTAGATTGCGTCATGTAAAATAATTTCTGGGCCAAATATATAATGAAATTTCACAAACATAGCAATTATCTGTGGTTGATCTTTGGGACCCAATTTGTTTAATCACATAATCATTTGAATGGCATAAGGGACTGTACTTGTAGCAAAGAATTTGTATGTGGAACAAAATATTTTAGCTGGTTTTAATTTTGTTTCTATATATTCATATAGGCTGGTATGTTTTTAAATTTTGGTAAGAAATCATTGTATATATTTGATCAAGGTAAATATCCTTGCTAATGGGCTCTGCAAGATTACCAAGTAATGGTTTGTATGACAGTAAAGATCCTAGCCTATGTTTGAACCTCAAAACTTGTTAAAGAGACTTGTCTTATACAACTGTTACTGGTTTTTATGGAAAGAGGGAGGAAAAGAATATAAAGAGATAATAGACAGGACTTTTTATGTTTTATTCATCAACCATGAGTGAGTCCTTCCTTTTTGTGAAGATCAGTCTGAGAACTGACCTGTGAGACCAACATGCCCACATTCTTTGTAAGCAGGTGTTCTAGTTTCCTGAGGATTTATTCATTCATTTGAACTGAGGCAAGCATGGTGTGGCTGTATGCATTCTCATCATGATGAAGTTTAGAGAAGCAGTTTTTCTTTCTAAGAAAAAAAAATTCTAGTCTATAAGAGCCATTTACTTTCTTAGGCACATTAAGACACTTCTTCACCCAGTGCTTGGAATGTGAAAAATGTTCAGTAAACAGCAGGTTAAGTTCACCTTGAAAAGCTTGGAACCAAATAAGTTCATAACATTAGTCAAATCTTTACTAATTGAAGCAATCACTTTTTAAAAAAATATGCATTCTTCTAATAACTTGGCACGGGGGAAACTGAAAATTCATATTAAAATGCATTGATTAACACACTTGCAATTTTTTTAAATTTAAATTGCTTAAAAACACAATAAAATGACTTTTTAATCTCATTTTGTTGAATTTAAAGGAAGAATAACATGTTACCAAACATTTCACATATTGCCAATTACTTTAAAACAATTAATTATTTAACCTGTTATTGATTAAAACAAGAAGATTAAATAAACTTAAAAGCCACCATTTATGAAGTGCTCATTACCTGCTGGAAACTATATCATACCCTTTACTTATCAGATCTTCTTTAACCTCACTTTTAGTTTAGCAGAAAAGAGCATTTACTGATTTTTGCAGGTGAGGAAACTGGAATGGGGAAATATAAGGTCATTCAACAGGACTAGAATTGTTCCTTGCAAATTTGGTATCCAAGGTAGTTTCTCAACATCTATAACAACACAACATTCAGAGATCATGCAGCCTTTTCTCATTGAATGAAGAGCTGGAGGTAATTATCTACTGTTTTTAAAAAACTAAAATATTGCTGTTAAGTTTTGATACATTTGCATATTTATCTTAGTTGCTGTCATGGTTTAGGTCTGTGTCCCCCAGGCCTAATGAGTTTGCATTGTGCAATTGTGTATTTGTTATTCATTCATTGTCTAGTGCTTGGATTGATGGCGTCAGTGCTCCACCCACATAGGGGTGGAGCCAGGATGTGATATAATGGCAGAAAGAAGGTGTATCTTGCTCTTTGCTGGTTCCGGCTTGCTGTTTGCAGCCACCATGAACTGTAGCCCAGCCATGCCCATCTGCCTTGGAGCCAACTGAGTGTGGCCTGAAACCTCCAAAAGACTATAAGAAATAAACTTTTCCTTTCCCACTTTGGGCTTCAGGTATTTTGTCTTAGCGACAAGTAAAAAGTAACCAAGACAGAATTTGGTACCAAGGAGTGGGGTTGTTTGCTATGACTACACCTGGCCATGTTTTTCAAGAGGCTTTGGAAATGGCTTGTGGGCGGAGTTTGGAAAGGTTTGGACATGTCACCTGGATGCATAGATCTGGGGCAGCTTAGGCCGTTCTGTAGAGGAGATTCTGGTCAGAGCTCAGGAGATCAGAAGGCTGATAGAAAGCCGGATGGTAAAGACCAGGCTTGGGAGGTTTCTGCTGGGAAGGACTGCATTGGTTGTTGGAGTCCACATGATGTGTGTTATGGCTTGGCAGAAAGTTTGTCTGCATTTTGCTCTTGCCCAAAGACTTTGCCTGA